TTTTGAGCATGCATGCCACGTTCTATCCTCGTGATGGAGGGAATGTGTGCGTCATCTCGAGGTATGTGTTAATTGTGGCGAGCTGCGTGATAGGCAGAACCCTACATGTATTGAGGTATCGGTGACCTGTTGGGACTGAAGGTCCATCAGGGAAAGACCGGGAGTGGTACACGTCAACGTCCAGTGAGTGTAGTCAAGTTGAGGGCGAGATTATTTGGCAGGGGGAGACCGAGATTCGGAGAGAGTACCCGAACCTCACATTTGATGTCCCCTTCTTGTACCCTCTTTACCTTCTAGTTGTTTTGTTTTCGAATTCCGAGGACGAAATTCTTTGTAAGGTGGGTAGATTGTAACGCCCTGTTCGATTTATAGAATTTCTCGGATTATTCTATTTTTCGAATCTTAATTTTGAGATTATATTTTATATTATTATATGGATACTGTGATTATATATCTCGTTCGATTTTATTTTATCAATCGTCGTTTGAATTTTCGGTTTAATCGCGTAAGCCGAATTGTTGTTCGTTTGGATTCCCGTGGAGAATAGTAGGAAAATGATTTAAAATGCCGATGCCGAACTCCCGTCATTTCGTTCGATTACTTTAACTGAGCTCGTATTTTCCCAAAGACGGTAAACATTTCCGAACCGTCTCGTTATTGCGGTTGTTCTAGTATATCACATGTTATATAAGTATCGTTCGTATTACCGAATCCTTGTTTGAAGTTGGATTTTTTCGATTGGTACATGCATGATTTAATGCTATGTTGTGCTGTAATTATAACCATTAGAAACCCGTAATTTGTTGTTGAGGCCTTCTGATGAAATGTAGTATTTTCTGTTGGCTTTCTCGTGATTTTTGAATTTTGATAATTCGAGTTATATCGAGTGAGTTATGATTTTTATAAAACGAGTGTGCAAGCAGTTTTCGAAAATCTGGCAGCATGTATTAATAAATGTTTGACCTTTTTATGGTACATAAATGTGCTCAAATGAGTTTGTGATTTTCATGAAAGTTGTAGGTATATTAATTAGCTTTCTAATGAGATAAGATTCATTCTGAGATGATATATGTAGCTCGAGTTTTGATAATTTTAATGTAGATATGCATGAAGTAGGATTTTATACTTTGACAAAATTTGATGTTTGAATGTTAGCTATTTTTACACTACCTTAATGACCTTATTTACTTTCATTTTCTTCATCGAAATTGTAGATGCATGTATTATGATTCTAGTGCAACTTGAATCATTTTCATCCGAGTTTTGTACAGAAAGTTATGTTGATTTCAAAAACGCTGCACGGGTCAAGTTTTAAAAAACGTAAGTGGTGTTTTCGGAAATGGGATTTCTTTGATTAAATGCTTATGTGAGCTTAGTTGGATTAAGTGATTGTTATGATTGGTTGGTCATGTATTGAATAGTCATTTATAGGACTATTTTAATATATGTAGGTGTTTGACGAGCTGAGCTCGCTGCCTACTCGTGTTTTTGTATCTATCGCTTCGGTAACCAGGTGGGTTTACTTATAAAATTTGCTATGCCGTATGTGTTTACTTTAATGTTGGGTTGGTATGATTTAAGTATGCATGTAAACCATGTAGCCTATCGGCGTGAGCCGATTCGGCCGTCGGTACGATTGTCCCCGTCGATGTAATACGGTTACCCTTGCGAGGTAAGTCTCCGTAAGACCTAATGAAAGGCCGTGTCTTGTTGTATGGCAAGTATTTTATTTTTAGTCATTTTTTTTCATTCAAAAGCCAACTCTAAACCGAACTTCGACCCGGCCCGGGTCTAAAAATCATAGGGTCGTTTAACCGAACAGGCCCTGGAAGTATTCAGGGACCTAAAAATGTTCAAACTTGGCACACCAAATGAAATTTGACTTCCTCACATTTCATATCATCTCCACTGTCCACCAACATTTGCTCTTGCGAAGATTTCACATACGAAGTTTCCAACTAGGTAACTTTTTTTTCCTTAAATTTTTTTTTTCTGTTAACATGTAAGTGCAGTTCAATCCGACGCTGCAAATTTGAAAATATTCGGTTTTGAATTTGCATATCATTGAGAGATCCACAGCACATGCGTACACACACAGACCTTTAATTTAGCCTTGTGTTGTTAGTCGAGATGCGGCCCTCATCATTTCAAGAGTTGAGATAATTTATACTTTAAGATTTTATTGAAATTATTTGGGATATGAACGAAAATTTTAATTTTCCAAAATATTTGGGGATCTTACTATATGGTTCGGGGCTCGCGTCGGACGACCGATCTGTTTAAGTGATTGAGATTTCAGATGGTGAGCAATGAAAATATTGCATAACTGGCCAAATCTTTTTTGTGGAGTCATTGAGTTAGATATAGTCGTATAGATCAGTTGGTCACTCTATTTTTAATTTTTATAGTTTTGCTTTTATTTTGAATCCCTTTTAAAAAGATCAAGTTTTTTCTTTTTAGTTTTGGTTTATTCTGCATTTTGTACATTTGCAGTCATAGTTTAAAATAAATGACAGCTCTCTTAATCTCCGAGGAGATGCTGCCGCGCCGGCCCCGCATCTACGAGCTCCTCCCCGGGTATGTCGCGCGCTACTGACCTCTGTTAGTGTTGGGGTTGTTCTTTTTTTTTGTAAATAAAAAAAAAAGTTTCTGTTTTATTTATAATTTAGTGTTTATTATTTTTGTATGTTTAGTTTCTCTATTGTATAATACATAGGTTTTCGGTTTAGTTTTTCTGTTTAACTTATCTGTTTATGTGTTTCAATTGTTTAATTCATTACATAGGTGTCTAATACTCTATATTTAGTTCATCAATTTGATATGTGTAGACGAGGCCTCGCCATGGCGAATGGCGAGGCCATGGGCCAGTCGCCTCGCCAGTCGCCATTCAAAAATATGTTTGCAATGAGAAGTATTTTTGGGCTTTACTGTACATTAGTCTATATATTTTTCAAATAAAATCCCAGCTATTCTGAACAACATACAAAAAATTTGGGTATTTTATACTTCATTTAGTATAAATAATAAAATAATTTGTGACTCTTTTTCTATGAAACTTCAAACCTTGCTATTCTTCCACTGTAATGTTATTATTATTATTTTTTTTAAACAAACCCATCCGGGCCTGGCCAGGTCACAGGCAACCCTGCTGGACCCGAGGTGGGGAACGGACCAGGGCGTCCTCGGGGTTGGGGTCGCGGGGCAGGCCCGGGTAGTGAAGTACCCGACCTGACCTGCCCCATTGCAATCTCTAGCCGTTTTCATTGTTTTGATTTCGTTGTTATTCATCTGATTCTTGATTTTGTTGTTTCTTTTGTCCAGATCTAATTCTATATACAGTTGCTGACAAATGGCAGTGTGAGTAGTCTTGTTCTTGTTTTAATTACAGTATGTTTTTGTTTCGTGGTGATGATGGTGTTAGTGATTGTGTTCTAATTTATTAATGAGTAGGGTTGCTTCTGCGCCGGGAAAAGTTTTGATGACTGTTGGATATCTTATCCTGGAGAGGCCTAATGCAGGGATTGTACTAAGTACAAATGCCCGATTTTATGCTATTGTCAAGCCGCTTTATGAGGACCTTAAACCTGACAGTTGGGCATGGGTATGTGACACTCTGTGGTAGATCATGATAATTTGTGGTGCAATTCTATCTCCAAGTTTGATCCGTAAATGGATAATTTTGATTCACTTAATTGACACTCTTGCCATACCGCCTGTTTATTTTATTTGAAATGAGTTTCCAAGATTTTAATTGTATGTTTTATTTCTATGTTCTCTCCAAATGGTTTGTACTATGTGGTTTATTTTCTTACCAAAAATTCGCTGTATTTCAGGCATGGACAGATGTGAAACTGACATCTCCTCAGATGGGTAGAGAAACTATGTATAAACTGTCTCTCAAGCATCTGCAGCTACAGTGTGTATCTTCAAGGTGAAAAGCACACCATTTAAAATTCTATGTAATGGACCCTAGTAACTGTGGCGTGTTTGCGTATGCTTATGAATTGAACTTAACTTATTGAAGAATGAACTACTTTTTTTCACGTACTATTGTCTGAGCAAGAACCATATGGCCAATTAATGCTTACATGAGAGAATTTTTTCGCTATGCCTACTCAGTGATTCAAGAAACCCATTTGTAGAATATGCATTGCAATATGCTATAGCAGCAGCACATGCCACCTTTGACAATACTAAGAAGGAGGAGCTACATAAACTTTTGTTGCTAGGTAAAGTTGGATATGAAATTCCCCAATCTTTCTTCAAAAGCTAACTAAACTTAGAAATTCTAATGTCTGTTTTGGTCTAGTCATGCAGGTCTTAACATTACGATTTTAGGCTGCAATGAGTTCTATTCATATAGAAATCAGGTATTCAACTTCGCCATTATTCTACTGAATTTTTACCAGACAATTTGTTTAATTTGGCAATTGGGCCACGTCTCAATGATGTTTATGATCAGAAATTATTAAACCTAACATTTTCAGCATAGTGGAAGGATTTTCAAAGTTACTCATGCACATGGATATGAAACTATTTTTGTGAAAATGCTTCTTTCAGACTCATATGGGTACTCTCACGCAGATTGAAGCCCGTGGCCTGCCTCTATCTCCCGATTCACTGGCTTCTCTCCCACCTTTCACTTCGATCACCTTTAATGTAGAGGAATCTAGTGAACAAAAGAGCAAACCCGAAGTTGCCAAAACTGGATTGGGCTCGTCTACTGCTATGACAACTGCAGTTGTTGCTGCTTTACTTCATTACCTTGGAGTGGTCAAACTTTCCTTAGAAAATAGTTCTCTTCCAGGGGATCAAGTCTCGAAGGAACTGGATGTCGTGCATATCATAGCTCAAACTGCTCACTGTATAGCGCAGGGTAAAGTCGGTAGCGGTTTCGACGTGAGCTCTGTTGTTTACGGAAGTCAAAAGTATATCAGGTTTTCGCCTGAAGTACTTTCTTCTGCTCAAGTATTTGGCTTTCTTGTCCTGGAAATGTTGTTATGTGGGGTTCTGTATAAATGCATGTCCGTGAACACAAAAACAACAGTTTTTTTATGACAAAACTTAGGCCTCTTTCTTCCTAATCACAAATTCAAAGGACCATATTTTTAGGAATTTGTTCCTTGTTTTAAATGTACATAAGGGTGTGCATGCACTCATACGTAGTGGGGCTCATCCAAATATTTTATTAACTGGCACCACTCCATGTGAGTATACATTCACCCTTATGTACACTTTAGTTATGTGAAGTAGCAAATTTTATTTTATATGTCTATTTTTATCAGAACAGTGGAGGTTGTGCTAATGTCGGGACATGCTTGCTTTATTTTTTGTGTTCGTCTCCTTGAAAAATGATTGCGATGATTGCAGGATGTTGCTCGAGGGCTTTCAATACAAGAGGTCATTGGAGATGTGCTAAAAGCCAACTAGGATCACAAGAGAACGAATTTTCAGTTGCCACCAATGATGTCACTGGTGAGTCTGATAAAGCATAACCGACTTGATGATAGTCTAATCAAGTGCTTTTATCTTAGTTCCGAAATGTTTCAGTTACATCCGGTCCAATCTTCATTAACTAATGTCCTGTGCTGAGGTTCTTCGTATTTGAAATTCCAGCCAAGGGTCTCAGTAATATTTTGATATGAATCTATAAAATCATGATTTTAGGCAGTGTGCCATGAACACAGAAATGTGTGCATTGAATATATTCCTGCCTTTCTCTCCATTAGGGTACCAGACTTTGTTAAATAATAGGGCCTTATTCAAGATCTTCTGAAACAATAAAGTCTCAAGCCTCTGTCCGATCAGACACAATCAGGTTGTAATTAATCCAGAAGTGATGAGTTTCCTTTTCTTGATAAACCGAGTAATTCTGTAATCAATATTATCCAATGTCGAGGCATATTTATCCCATTAGAGCTTTCACGATCCCATTTCTGTATTATATGTTAAGAGTTTCCCGCTCCTGTTCCCATCTTAGAAAAGTGCAGAAAAGAAAGGTAAATTGGGAGATAAAAGACAAAAAAAAAAGAAAAAAAAAAGATTTTGAAACCTAGGATTTAGATATCTGGTGTTCACGTCTAAAACATTTTCTCTCGTACTTAGTCGAGCGTGGTGCATGTGTAGGTACTTGGAGAACCAGGAACAGGGGGATCCTCAACACCATCAATGTTGGTGCTGTTAAGAAGTGGCAAAAATCTGATCCTCAAGGCTCGTTCGAAACATGGAAGAAGTTGTCGGAAGCAAATTCAGCTCTTGAAATGCACCTCAACAACTTAAGCCAATTTTCAGAAACAAATTCTGATGCTTATAGAATAACCATTGACAAATGCAGCAAACTTACGTCTGAAAAGGTAAGCCAAAATTTGTTCCACCCATATATTCTTGTCGTATGTGATTATAAGTTTTACAACTCTATCAAATGAGTTCTCCAATTACATTTTTTAATAGTGGGAAGAGGGAGCTGTGGGGCCATACCAAATAGAAGTGATTAAAGCACTCTTAGGAGTTAGAGATTCCATGTTGTCAATCCGGACTACTATGCGCAAGATGGGTGAGGCTGCCGGAATTCCCGTAAGTTCTTTTTGATTAATCTCAAAGCGTGTTTCGCACTTGATTTGTGTGTATCTACGTGCGTACAATAAACTAGTATCAGAAATAACTAATTGAAATGAGAATTTTGTAACCTCTGCATGTATTTATTCCATAAAACTACTTGTGATTCTAAATTGATGTTCTTAGGGACATGACTGATTGATATTCTCAAGCAAGAAATTTAGGGCGTGCTAGTGTACAAATATATCCGCTCAAAATGACTTTTTTTGTTAACCAGATTTAATTTTGAAAAAAATATATGGTTAGTTGTTAGTGTTATTTTATACTAAAATAATACTTAAAATAAAACAATAAAAATTGATTTGATGTAAAAGTAAGAGAGGGATGATGTGAAGTAATGGTTAGTTAAAATTATGTGAGTGGATGAATAGTGAATCAAAATGGATGTGATGTATAAGAATTGCTTGTTTGGTACTATTTAATTATAATAATAATATTGAAGATAGTGAAGTTGGGGTAGAGTTAGAGTTAGATATTGAGTATGAATTGGATAAATTTATAAACAAACACACCCTTTAAGAGGATTGATCGACTGTCTTTTTTTCTCCGTAGATGAAACCTTTTTACCTTGAGCAAAATTTTGGACTCTCCTTTGCAGTTAGCATTTGATTTCTTACAGTTCTTGTTTCTATTTTTGTTGTATTTATTAACTTTACACCGTCAACAATTTCACTGTTTCCTTATCTTTTTTAATATTTGACTCTTCAGAAAAGTGTAAGTACCGTTAATCAACTCATTCATTTTGCAATATTTTAACATAATAATTTTAATAATTTTGTATAGTTCAGAAACCAAACTACAATACCTATTTAAGCCCATTCATTATTTCCTTTTTTTTTGTGGTTTTTTTTTTTCTTGATCATGCATACCCTTTTTGCAGATAGAGCCCGAATCACAAACCAGTATGCTAGATACCACGATGAATACAAAAGGAGTTCTATTGGCTGGTATTCCTGGTGCAGGTGGATTTGACGCGGTGTTTGCCATTACCTTGGGAGCTTCAAGCAGCAATGTCGTGAAGGTCTGGAGTTCGCTCAATGTTCTGGCCTTGCTAGTGAGAGAAAATCCACGTGGCGTTCATCTAGAGGCCAAAGATCCACGAACTACCAAGATTACTGACTCGGTTTCTAACATTCATATTGGGTAAGCTCGTAGTTTATGCTGCTACTTGTGTTTTAGCAATTGAATTTGAATAAAATAATTGTATTTTTCTGACACATTCAGATAAAAAAAAAAGTTTGTGAGTGATGTTTACTAAAAGGAAACTATTTACTAAAAATAAGGAAATAAAACTGGCATGTTGTATTTTCTTTTTGAAATGCTTTTGCAATCTAGGCATTGAATGGTGTTGGAGCTGAAAGATATTCAGGAGTTTTTGTTCATGGATCAGTATTCTTCAATTTGGTATCTATGTTTTACTTGTTTTATTTACTGCTTATTTTCAAGACCTTGAATTGTACCTTGGATTTCTTGGGGTTCCTTTTTATGTTGGTACAAATTCCAAAATGGACTTGCTTTTAGAAAATAATAAGCTGATTGTTAGTCGGACCCGACGGTTGTCGATAGGCAATCTTCATATAGTTTCATGTTGAAGTGAATACCCAACGACCAACGGTTGTTTGATAGACAATCGTACTTTTGCAACAGATTCGTATATTTTCATATTGAAATGTTTTGTTTTGAATAATAACATTGCACAAATGTGTGATTGCATTTTTTCATGTTGAAATATATATATATTTTTTTTTTTAAATAACATTAACCAAATATGACATTTATGAAATAAATTGACCTTTTATTCAAAAAAAAGTGTGCGGACTAATGATTGTGTAGTCTAACAAGGCTTGTATTTAAGAAACACTTTCATGAATTGGAATTTTTATCAGCTCTGATTGAAAGTCTGAAACTTATTTGAATTATTGAGTGTCCAGCTTGGCAACTCAAAGGATGAGTCATATATGCATGTTCTATTTATATAAATCGTCATAAATATTTACCACGTAAATATATAAACATTACTTTATCTAAATTAAAAAAATATTCTTTGTATATATGTGTTTGGTTCAAACGGGATGACCAGACGGAGTCAATGTCTGGGCCTACCGGGTTGCTTTTTAACCAATCTGAAAAGCCCCACCCGTGCCGGGTCCACCTCCGGCTAGATTCTTGCCGGTCGGTCAAAGTAAAAATAAACTAATTTTTAGCAAAAAAACAGATACAAAAAATATCAATGATGCCAAAGTTTCACAGAAGGTAACATTATAAAATTATTATTTATAGATTTTGAATATGATGTGATGTGGAAAATAGCAAATTTATATATATAAGTTATATCAAATTTTATGTTATTTTGTTTGCTACTGTAACATGACCGTTTTCTATTTTCACAGTGACATAGTTTGGTAGCAGTTGTCCACCAAAAATTTGGACACAAATAACCAATCCATTTATTTCAACTGCAGTTGTTTCAGTAGTTAGCAAAAGCACAAAATTGACAGGGAAAATTAGGTGAAATTTCCACCATTTATATGACATTGGTGTCAAGAATTTTTAAATTTTGTTGGTAGTTAATATTTATCTTATTGAAATTAAAAAAAAAAGTAATTTATTTTTTTAAATACTATTCATTTCATTTCATTTTTTTTTCTATACAAATCCCACTAACCCAATTAAGAAATATAAAATAATAATTATATATACATTTCTAATAAAATATACTATTCGTCCATTCACACATTTCTAAATCCATCGATTTTATTATTTTTATATCATATCAATTCTCGTTATTACATTTTTATCTTGTATATATTCACAATATCAAAATTATCTTTCTTTTTTCCTATTTTACTTTTTCGTCTCACTTTTTTTCGGATGCGAATTTTTTCCGGAGAACATCGTTGTGTTCTATTATGAAATAATAAATAAATAAATAAATAAAATAAGGTTCTCATGTTAAATGTAGAATGAGATGCTGAGAGCATGATTGGATACAAAATTTTTCAAAAAAATCTAAACATTTTTAACTCAACCATTTTTTTAACTCAACTCTACTATCATCAATATTATCAATATAATTATCAATCAATCATTCATAGACAGCACATCAACCTTCAATCACTATTCATCTACACCCGTGGATGAAAGAACAAAAAAGATATTATGGGCGTGATAAGCCTTTAAATCAATGGCAATAATTGCTTTTTATAAAGGCTGTCTATTGTATAAGGTGAGGCTTTAA